CTCGAGTGCCAAACAGAATTTAATTATACTAACACCTGGCTATGTGCAATTTGTTAAATAAAATATAAAACATCATACATCAAATACATGTACTTTATTATGCAACCTTTTATTTAGCATACAATCAAAACTTCTGTGTCCTACCACATTAAATACTGAAAAGCTTAAGTGATATAACATTTGTTAGAACGTGTACTAAAATTGCATGTTTTTTGTTTTTCAAACTTAATTCAAAGTGGTAAATGTTGGTATTGCAATACAAAGAACAGAAAACAATGCAATGCCCTTACTGCACTATGTATACATCGCTTTAGTTAGTAGCATAATAATGCTTAAAATACAATCAACATCAAGCAGTTAACATATGAAAACTTCATTCTATGAACTTGTTATTATATATATGAACATTTTCGTTTAGAATGTTTTAAGTAACTTTGCAAGAAAACGGCTCAAGTTTGTTTTTGTCTTCTTTTTTCACCGTTTATGTTATTTATTGCAATCTATTTATTTTGCAATAGAATGGAACTTGGACTGGCATGCAAAAACACTTTGAAATTTATGTAAACAATCTAAACGTATTTAGGATATTTTGAATAATATTTTCCAACCGATTTACTACATTACGGAAATACTTTTTATTTCTCCATCATCAATGACTCTTAAGAAGGTAATCCATTTCAGAAACAATGTGTTCAAACATGTAATTATGTCACGCATGCTAATTCACCCATCGGTCTTTTTTCATACCATAACTATCATTATTATTGCTTCTATCATTTTTTCCAAAGAAAGTCCCGAATCATCTAATCATTGTATCTCTAAATTACAATGGTGTTATTGGTTGAACTAGCGTTTTGAGGACAACCACTTAACAAACATATCGTGTGCTATGTTGTTCTTATTTTCGATTCAGAATCTCAGTTAACCTACTATATCATTTGTTTTATTTAAAATTTAATACATGTATTTATCAACGACTGTTTACAAACTGGTCTTGTAATTAACTGAACATCATATATACAATTTTAAAGAGTACACGTATAAAGCTATATTTAATGCAACAATTATCGTTTAAATTAACCAAGAAAGAATACTTCCAAAATGCTTGTATGAAAGAAATGTGTTAGTAAATTGCCTTAAAAGCGAATGGCCATACACGAAACCATTGTTAAACAGACAAAACTATTTTTTAAAATAGACAAATTTTTTATTCTGTTTACGTATACTATTAATGTATTAAATTACAGAAAATTCTATGTAACAATTCTTTTGAGAATCGACCATAAGATAATTGAAAAAATATGATTTTACTGTTGTTTTTTTTCTCTAAATAATTCATAAGATACTAGTATAGCTTTATACTCTTTAAGTAACAAACTCAAGTCTGTTACATACAAAGTTTTACAACAATATATAATGGTTTGGTTATATCAGGAATATATCAAATGTCTCTGCTAACTGAGTATTTTTCGTATTTAAATTAATTGTATTCTATTTAAATATAATATATAATATTGATCAAAAGTAAGATCGTGAATATGTGAGTATAGTTACCGTTTTAAATAACAAGACAGTTTGTGACCATCTACCACTTATCAGTGAACCATAATTTTTGACTATCATTAAATCAAGCGTATTAAAGTGGATTGCTCTACAATAAGCACATTTTCATAAATATTTCAAAAATTGATAAAAACAATAAAAATGTATTATTTGGATATTCTTAAATCGGATCATGCCAATTACATCCATATATAACTCTTTCATGGTTTGTTGTTATGGCTGATACTAAATTCTATCAACGTATTTAACTTTTGTATTACAGACCTTCCATTATATACAATTCTCATTTACTGTCTTGGAAATTGTGTTATTGTAAAACGTCATTTAAAAACTAAAACCATTTTATATCATATACTATTACATTTAAAACACTTGATTTGAATGCGTGTTAGTATTTTATTATATACGGTTTGTCCCCTTATCTTAATAATACAAAAATTAAAAACATTTAACTGACCACCTCATTTGATTTTTTCTTTTATAGACTTTGATCTAATGCCTTAGATAGAACCTATAATGTTAAAATCCGGAATAATTATCATGGTGTTATATTTTAACAATAAGTATACTTTTTTCATTTCTTTACATACGATAAGTTTAAATGCGTACACTTAAATTTTCATATTTACATATAGGCATAAAGGAATTTGATATAAAAGGCACATTATGCCCTATCTATGCAAAAAACATTTCCTCTCTTTTAGACGGACCAGACAAGAGTTTCATAACGTTTAGAAATGGTTTTAAAGCCTGTTAAAGGCTTATCAACTGAAGACAGCAGTGCCGAATGTGATTTTATTTGTCATAACAGCAAACAGATGTAAAAAGTAGCATTTTGACTTCAATACAAAATACTAAAAAGTAACAGAAGCTAAAGGTAGTTCAGGTAAATAGCAAATTAGTCCCTTTTTAAATCATGACAGGGCACCAAAAGTAAAAAGTTTTTTGGAAAAAAAAGCATTTCTTGGTTTAACTGGTCCTGAAATATAATATTAAAAACATTTTCAGCGAAAACCAATTGGGGGCTCTAGGATCGTGTTATCATACTCTTTAAATGAATTGTGTCATTAAGTTTTCATTGTCTTTATGAAATATGTACGGCCTTTACGTCCATTACAAATATGCGAAACAAAATTATTGTAATCAATGTATCTTGATGTCGAAAATCAATTTTATCAACTTTTCACTAGTTGCACATGTATATTTGACATATTTCATTTTATCATTATTTTATTTTATCTGCTCCTCTGAATTGTTGAAGCTGAAAAAGCAATTGTAAACGCTCTGCTTGTGAAAATTCAATGTTTGTCATATTGTATCAACATTGTACTGTCTGACATGAACAATAAATTGTAATAGAATAACAACATGAGTCGAGAAGCTATGTAAGATAAATGTTTAATAACATGACACAAGAATAAAGAACTTATTTGTGTTTAAGTGAATCCTCAGTATCTCCTTAATCTATTGGTAAAATGGAGAAAATTTGACCTGAACCAGAATCCCTCGGGAATCGAGTATCGTATTTGGTGCATGTCGCTGCATCGGCTTTGAGTTCTTTCCAAATTTTTATTATTTAGTTTCCTAAATAAACATAATTTTAATCTTAGTATCTTGTTTTCTTACCAACGGAAATATGAATATCTTCAAGTTTATTAAGAATAATAATCTATTTTTGCGTAGATTGCATAATTGCTAAAATCTAAATGATGATTTAACAATTAAGTATAGGTGTGCATTCCTATCATATAATGCAAACCATTGATAGTATTTACTTAAAGTTTAAATATCAACGTGCATTTATCTGTTTCAAAAATACCCAGACATAACACGATACATTGCGTCTGGCTTGTCAAAAATTAATCTAACTCAATTTCATTCATATTTGAATTAGCTTGTCTTCCTACGTCAGTGATTTTATTAATTAATTGCATGAAATACGTCCCAGATTTTGTTCAAGTAAGGTGAGATAATGAAAGTATTAATATATTTAATTATTGATAAACGATATCAAGTTTATTGAAATGCATTGATCTTGATGTTGGAGGAAGAAGCGATGAAAGAAAGTGCATATAGAAATTTTAAGTTAAATAACTTAAAGTTAATGTTAGCTAGATTAGTAGAAATATTATATATCTGTTGGGCTTTTTTTGTTTGCTTTTGTGTTTGAGTGTGTGTGGATGTTCTGTTTTGTTTTTTAATTTGAATATCGCAATTTAATTTTCACCGCCTTTTATAAGATACTTTCAAAAAAATACCGGAATAATTTGATATAACTATATGTCGTTCTCTTCCTTTTCATTAGGTCTTGGACTTTTATAATCATTCCAAAGAAGCGTAACATTCGTGTTTATTACAATTGGATGACAAATATTTATTCATATCACATTCATTGTTTAAAATGAATTATTGTTAAAAACGATTTTTTTAAGATTTTGAGTGGCTTCTTAACTCGTTTTTTTTGACACAATCACACAAATATCAATAGACGTGGATTTTCTTTTGAGTTGAAGGACCAGTAAAAGGACTAGATATTTTGGTAGAAAACATGGCTAAGTTTATAGAGTTTTCATACAAAATGACAGAAAATTTGTTTAAAAATTGAAAGTAAACTTTAAGTGTCCATTCAATATTGAAAAATAATTAGAGAAATTGTTGTGATCAAGGGAAATTCTCAAAATATAATTAAACGTAAAGTTTTAGCACAACTCATGTACATCAGGGTCTTTCAAATAGAAATTTCTATTTGAAAGACCCTGCGTACATTTTTAATTTGATTAAACTCCTTAGTACATTTTTATATATTTTTTAAATAACTATTTAATCATTTAGAATAAAACAAACCGTTATAATCATATTGTTTTACACAAAAAAGATATTGCGTAAAATTATGGAAAACTAGATTAATGTTTTATATTCATTATATTAGAAAATCCTCATATTGTACACATGTGCTTGAGTGAATAAATATATCTGTCTGCCTGATTAACTGTAAGATGAAATCATCACATTTTTTTTGAGTATATGAAAACATTTATATCTAAAAAAATAAGTATAACGTTAATCCAAAATTTACCATTAACCGCGACTAACATTTTTTGTAGTACAACAAATATATTAAATTGTTCAAAATATACTGTGTTATATTTAAACAATCAATATCGTCTCTAAATCTATAGAAAGTACCAAATTATTCTATTTATTTTTGGTAAAAGTTTACTCTAATTAACAATTGAAAATTTAATTTGATAGATACTTTCTTAATCTTAATACATACATAACTTAAAGTTTTGCATCATAAATACATTCTCTATTGAGTGAAAATATTTCAGATAAATAAAAGGCTTACAGTATTATAAAGATATAATTTCAACAAGACTTATTGGAAAATATGAAGAAGAAAATATGAACTAGTAAGACATAAGTAAGAAACTAACCTTCCAACTTCAATGATTTCAGAATCTGTCCGTTTACTACAAAATCGTCACAAAATTATTCTGGTGAGACGACCGAGAATCATCGATGTTCAATGTTTCTATTCCAGCTAACCAATAGAATTACGGCTACTTATATAGCATTTCTCGCTGAACGATAATCCAACGTAAAATGCGGACAATAACAATCTTGTTGCCTTTTGCAATTGTATCATAGAAGAGCTCTTGGATTTGCTCAAATATCACTTGTAGTGTTTCCTTTTCCTATCTCAGTGGGGGCATTTAGGCAATTAAAGAACTTGTGGGTTTTAAAATTGTGCAACGCTGAGAGATGAGTGGGCTTTTTTCGAAAAGTAATTTTGAAATACATCAAAATATCAAACTGTCTTGGGTGTTATAAATCGTAGCAACAACTTCATAAGCATGCAAAAATAAAGTGGTATGGAAAAACTATTTGCAATAGAATGAAGAAAACCATTTTCATGGTGAAAACTATGTAATAGAACGACAGAGAAAACAAATTGCAAGTTCTCTATGTATGTTTGCAAATATATTTAACTTAGCTAAGTTTGTTATGATATATCTGCGCGGACAAATCCTAATTATCATATCTGTTAAGATCCATCTAGGAAATTTAATGATGTCAGCTAAATGCCCAGTGGTACACGAAGAGCATATATAATCCTTTTGTGCTTCCGATATGCACATGATGCAGCTGAATACTCAAAATACCCATTCAAAATACATTATGGCTGTACTTATTTGTTCTAAGCATGCTTCCTTCGAGAAGACAAATAATACACAGTGTTCTTTCGGGAGATGATTTATAACTGTTATATTGCATTACTTACTACCAAGTGTTCGAAATCGTTTTGACATGCAAATGTAGACTGGAACCTACTGCAATGAATCGAAACTAAAAGTTTTCATAACTCAAACCACACTGAGTTAAAGTGATTCTTTTTTTCTTTTTTTTAAAGTCAGTTGTGTCTCCACTAGTATTTAAAAAGGTCTGAATGGTTGAAATTTTACTCTTCATTTCCTCGGTCACACTACGTACAGAAAGTGTCGATGAAGACAAAACACATACTAGAAAATTAAATACGATGTTGGGCTTGTTATTTCGGATTCGAATATCCGTCCTGAGGTCCCCCAAAGAGAAATATTCACTAATTCAAGTTTATATCAAATACGCATCGTGTAAGGTCATTACTTGTCAAACTTTACCTTAAGGTTTCTTTAATGGTACCCTATTGTAATAGATTCCGATCATTAAAAATCTTCTGTAAAATTTCCTACACTTTTAGTTAGTTGATAGCTGTTAAGGGATTCGGTCATTTGATTTATTAAGTCTGTAACATCAAATTTAGTGTCTTTGTCATCTTTTTTGAGAATGTTTGTGTAATTTGTCGATAATTCCGGACATAAAATATATATTAATATCACTTAAGTGAGGGTTCAAAGGATACTCCGGTTGACTTTCTTATTCAACATCAAGAATTACAATCTATGTGTTTCACGTTTATCTGGAGGTACTGATCTAACTTATTTTCTCAGTTCTTCCGTCACAAAAACAACAATATTTCATACAATAAAGATAAAAATTAACGCTAATTTCATCTCCTGCATATCTCATTTAATGGGCCCCACAGAGATGACGTAGCTACCACAGCCAGATCAGAACGAGGTTTATCAGCAGCCGGAGACGTCCGCAAAAAATTATAGAGTTAAAAAATCAATAAAATCAAAACATTTCAAAAAACATTTGTGGTAAGTCTACATATTTTCAAAGGTTAAATTTATCCTCTGTACAAGTGTTATTATTTTTCAGCAGGATTGCCAAGTAAGTACGTTAAAATTCGTAATTTTAGAGAAACAAATTAAAGGGATGGTCAATAATGGCGATCTATGGACATTATCCATGGAAGCAGGTATCCGAAAAAAGGATCCGTTGATAATCATGCTCTTTATGAGCTAGCCTGAAAGGCAAAATTAAATAACTTTGGATGAAATCCATTTGTTAACGCAACACATACCAATATTCAAACGTTAACATTCCAACAAAAACAAAATCATTTACATGACCAACAGGTCAGCATGGTCAGAATATCACGTGATGATGTGACCATTCGCTAAATAAGCGAGTTTTGTTTACAAAACATGTACTGCATTATAGCTAATAAGCGATGCATTTAGAACAGTATTGATATATATATATGTTTATCGTGTTGGTAAAAAATGCAATTAGTGTCCAAGTTATCTAAAGAATAAATTGATAAATAATAATCTGCCCCTTAAATATTTAAGCAGGTGCGCGTGTTTATCAGCTGATGAATAGCCGAGCAGTGCGGCGTTTTAGATATGCGCGTTACGCCAAGTAGTAATGCATATTTTATGCGGGGCTTACTAACAATCGAATGGACAATGTTTTATATATCCGTTATCGGATAAAATTAGATTTTCGGAAAACGAAAGTAATTCGTTTCTCCTGTTCGGTTATAGTATAAATATGTGACATTTGATTTATGACGAAAATATAAAGATATTTAAGACAGACAAAATATTGTCAATATCTCTTGAGATTTAACAAAACATGTTACTCATTTTTAGGTACCATATCAATTACAAATATGGCGTCTGGTTCGGAGTCTGAGGCCCCATACGGGAAAAGCTTACCAGGTGACGCGATCTTGAGAACTTTTGAAAAACGGATGGATGAATTCTCAGGAATAGCCAAGTCCGTTGCAGAAATGCACAAATCCATGCAAGCATTGAAAGAAGATGTCAATGATTTAAAAAGAAAAACAACAACCAATATTGATGATGGGCAAAGTTCAGCAAAAAGGGTATGTGAACAGAAGTCAGATTCAGAAACAGATTCTGAAGAAGAGACGGATGCACATAGCACTCAAGGGAAAGATAAAGATGACATTGATGTATTTCTTTCGGGGGAGCAGTCTAATGATGAAGATGATGTATCCTTTCTCCAGGATCTGGAAGAATTTTATGCAGAAGATTGTGAAGTAGGTCCGGAAGTTGATGAGAAACTAGCCAATTTAACAACAAGTGCTCTGCAAGCTAATCTAAAGGAAAAAGATGAAACAAAAATCAAAGAGATCAAAGACAGACAGAAAAGGCCTAGAAACACACCGTGGCTGCAAGTCCCACAAATTGATGACTTCCTTTGGCGAAGATTAAATCCAAAAGTGAAAGCAACGGATTACATTCTACAAAGATGTCACGGATCAATGGCTGCTATACTTGTGAAACAAATGACATTAAAACAGAAGGAGTCTGGCTTCCAGAGGACAAACATTTACACATTAACATTTTAGAACTTAAAGCATGTCAAATATCAATCATGGCGTTATGCAAAGACCTTGAGAATTCACATGTTAAAGTATTCATGGATAATACAGTGTGTCATACATTACAAAATTTGGGGGCAGAACTGAGGTTCTGGACAATATTGCTCGCGAAATTTGGCTCTGGTGCATAGAGCGTAATATACACTTGAGTGCAGCTCATGTTCCGGGAAAAGAGAATCATACAGCGGATGTATTGTCTAGGAAATCGAACGATGATTTGGAATGGTCTCTGCATGACAGCATTTTTGGTTTATTGTTGGAAATGTATCCATCCATGAGCATAGATTTATTTGCATCAAGAACAAATTACAAACTTCTTCATATGTATCTAGGTACCCCGATCATCAAGCAATCGCAATTGATGCATTTAGCATAGTCTGGAGCAATGAATTATATCATATGTTTCCTCCTTTCAGTCTGCTACCAAAACTACCACAGAAGGTGGAAGAAAACAAAGCAAAGGCAATTCTAATAGCGCCAGTCTGGCCAAAACTGGTGGCCGAACCTATTGAATCTCATATGCGGCCCTTGTCATCTTCTACCAAGTCAACAAACGATTCTGACACTTCATCACAAACCCCATATACAACATCCTCTAAAAAAGATGAGGCTAGGGTTTTTTTGCATATCCGGAGAGTCCTGCGATCACAAGGGGAGTACCTAAACGGGTTCGAGCACTCATCCTTAGCTCATGGAGAAATTCCACAAAACAACGGTATGACAGATATATTGAAAAATGGATACATTTTTGCGGATCATTGCAACATCCCCTTAAACCCAGTATTAACAAAGTATTAAATTTTCTTTCAATCTTATTCGATCAAGGACTAGGTTACAGTTCGTTAAATACTGCTAGGTCAGCAATAAGCACTTTCTTAAAAATATGTTCAAATGTAGATATACATGAAAATAGTCATATTATTAGATTCATGAAAGGTTGTTTCTTGGAAAAACAAACAGTACCGAAATATGCGTGTATTTGGGATATAAATATTGTGCTGTCTTATTTAGACTCAGCGGAGACCTTATCTTTACTTCAGTTATCAAGGAAATTGTGTATGCTTTATCTCTTAGTGTCGGCGCAACGTTGTCAAACATGACATAAGCTTAAAATCACAGACCTCACGTGTGGGCTGAACAATGATTATGTAGTTATTAATCCAACATCAATTCTAAAAACCAGCAAGCCAGGAAACAAACTAAAACCAATGAAAATTACTAAATACCAAAATTGTTTGATTTGTTTTGTTGGAACATTGCAAGATTATTTAACAAGAACTGCTGTATTAAGAAATGGTGAAATGTTGATCATCAGCACACAAAAGCCCCACAAAGGGGTATCACGTAGCACAATTAGTCGCTGGATCAAAACTGTTATGGTAAATGCCGGTTTAGAGGAACAATATGGTCCACACAGTACGCGCTCAGCATCTACCTCTAAAGCTAAGAGTTGTGGGGTAGATCTTAACACTATTATTAAAACAGCGGGCTGGACAATTGCAAAAACATTTGCGACTTTCTATGACAAGAATATAACACCATCAAAAACTGACGGAAAATAAAAACTACAGAAAAACTATATTTTGTGTTTTGTTTTTAATCAACATCATCAATTAAATACATATCAATTTATAATAATATATGTACAAACAAAAGCAAAGGGTTTGTTTCATAATCTGCATTTTGTATACCTAAAAGAAATTGTATTCTTGTCAAATGCAAATGAGTATTTTCAAAAAGACCATGAATCATATCGAAAACAACTTCACAGTTCCAAAAGAGGTATTCTAAGCTTTGAGCATTATTATTGCAAAACTTGCAGTTTGGATTGTCTTTGCATGATATCTTATACGGAGGTTCGTTTGTGCCAACTATTCTGTGTACATTTCTGTATTGAAACCATTGTAAATCCGTGTTTTTAGTGGTGTCAAATATAAGTGAAAAAATATGTTGTTTCATTCTTTATTTTCAAATTTAGCATTAAGTTTTGTTTCCACTTAAGTTTAAAAACAGGTGTACAGTTATTTAATTTTAATTTATTATACATCGGTCGTGAACCTTTTTCATTTTTTTCTTCAAAATCTGAGATAGCATTGGTGGAATAAAAGGTCCTGAAACATTTTTCAAAGCACTTACAGAATAACCATCAAGGCAATTTTAAGATATTTAACTACTGTGTTACATGCTAAAAAATTGGACTCAAACTATATTTTCTTTTGAATTCATTGATCTCATATAAAACCCATTCATGTTAAACAAGTCACCTATACACGGAACACCAGCATAAAATCATGATTTTACTTTATTTTTTCACCAATCAATATGTTTGGGTAATAAAACAATGGATATTCCAACAATTTATCAGAACATGGAACATTTTTTTCACACAATTGAACAAAAGCATTTAAAGTATCTTATTAAAACAACTTTTTACTACTGCTTATGTTAAGATAATAAGTGAATACCATATCACCCCACAAAAATAAATTATTAATAAATTGCAATACATTTTTGTATTTCCGATTCAATAACCAATTGCTTTTAGCAACATGTCTGTAGAGATAATCTACAAGTTTAATTGTATTGAGAGTGGCACATTCAGATCTAGTGTTTGTTTACAAGCCAGTTTTCTTAAACAGTCAAATATGCATAAATATTCTGTTTCTCAAATTAGAAAATGGCTTATCATTATGGCCTGAATATGTTTATTTCTTTTAAAGCATAAAATAACGTTTTCAAAATCGTAGTTTGAAGGTTAGTGATGTAGAATGTCATTTTTTGTCTAAGCATTTACTTTTTATGTTTCCTTGGACTTTCTTTTTATTTGGTGAAATGAATTTCTAACATGGTGTATTTCTTATTTTAAATGTAATATTCATAACATTTGATCATATGTTAGATCTACACCATGCATATAAACTAAACCAAAATCTGGAAAATATGAATATTTTGATATTCAAGGAACGCATTTTTTACTTATTTTGCACATAACAGAATTGCTTCCTCTTTACCAAGGACTTTTTAAAAAAATGTGTCAGTATAAGTAAGATCTATTATTTTTATATAAAATTTAATTTAATCAACATTACACAATACATAAATCAATCATACTTATATAGAAATATACAGAAGCGCTGTAAAAAAATCTCAACATTATTATAATATTTTACACCCTATTAAAACATGTTTTGTATGTATAAAACTATACTGATCACTCATTATAAAGATAAAATCTTTTTATGAATAAAATATCAGAAGAAGAAATAAAGAAATATACAAGTTGAAAAAATACAACGTCACAATTAGTACATCTAATTAATTAAGAAAAAATTCTACGAGCCATTTTGATATACATGTATAGATAAATGTAATGTTGTGTTTTTTTCCTATTTCTTCTTTTTATTCCTTATTATTTCATCTTCACGCCACATCTTCTAATCAATGATTTTTCCTAACGTACTTGTTTAAAAAGATTAAACAATGTATCCATTTTTTCAAAATAAAATCTTGTTCGTGCAAGCTTATACATTTACCTCAAATCGAACACCTATGAATCATGAATTTAGTTTATGAATACTTATTATGAATATAGTATGTATGCGTAACAAAGCAAGCATAAGTTGAAATGATGTGTATAGTTTGGTTTATTCATTGGATATTTTGTTTCCATTTATTTAAAATCTATGAAATACTAATACCGGAGAGAGTTTTCAAAAATAAAACAACAAAAAACAACATTTAAAGCTTCCTACTCAATCCGTAAAATTTATTTTATGTACTTCATGCAATTAAAAAAGGTAACAAAACTTGTTCAATTAAATGTTAAAATAAACTAGTCACTGTGTAGGATTTTGTCTGCATAGACTTGAACCAATTTAAATCGATTCAACGATCAACTGTCCTTCTCCTCCCTCTGCCACTGTTACCCTGGGATAACAGTAATAGTTGCAGAAATTCTGACGCCTTTTGCTTTACTTCCACTGGAACTGATTCACTTTTTTGAAAAAAGTCTAGTTTCCTCCGTAGACCATCATTGACAATAAGGTTTCCAGCACGGAAATCTGCTATGTCCTTTTCCAACTTCTCAACATTATTCTTCCAATGAAGGTCAACAACGACAGGGTCGTAACTCTGTGAAGAAATTTTCAAATGTTCCAAGACCATCTTTTCTGAAGTCGTTAGATCGGAAAGTTGAGAATTTTTCGTATACTTCCTCGGGATTCTACGCAAGATTGCAGACTCTTGTTTTTCCTGCAATTCTTGTGCAATCCGTTTTACATTTCCGGGAACATTAGTGTTCTTAGTGAGGAAATTTAATTTAGGAATCGGATATGTCATGTTGAAATTGGGGTCGTCATCAAGTGCACCAGTAGCGTCTTGCATTTCAGTTGCTACAATTTTCCAATGTAATGCAACAACAGTCGGTTGGTAGTTAGGGGCATTATCTTCAATTGGTTTTAGGTTTTGGATAATCTGATATTCCGTAGATGATAAATTCTCGAGCGGTTCATCGGCTTTGTACTTCCTCTGCACATCCGAACATATAACATCTTCGACTTTTCCTTTTATTCGTAACGCATCCTTTTTAAGATGCTCTGAGCCAAAGCGTTCAATTTCATTAAGCTTAAAATTGACACCACGATCTGGTATGAACTCCTCTGGAGTCTCAAGTTTTTCTTCAAGTGACTTCAGGTAACTTGCCATAGACTGCTGTTTCAGTTCTATTATGACGCTATTGTGCTCAGCCAGGTCAGAGATGTTGGTGTCTTGCAATGCTTTGATCTGTTCAAGTACAGATAAATATATCATTTAAACATGTATCAATCATTTATTAATTTCTGTTTAATCATTCAAGTGTTTATGGCGCTCAAAAGCATTTATCATAAGAAAAATGTCATTTACATTAATTAACGAAATGAGAATATATATAAAAGAACATACTAGCTTTTATGATTAGCTTGTTTCAGTTAGCAATAACAAAATGAAGAATGTGACATTGAAGAAATACCGGACACATGTGAAAATCCACTTTTTTATCGAGATCTTTACCAAGTTTTGTTTTATTATGAGATCATATTATTTTTATTTTTAGCTGAAATAAATTTGTTTAAAACAAAATTTAAATATTCTGAAAAGAACGTGTATAATCCCGTCTTATTTGGACAATCAAACACAATTAAGTCTAATCTCTTACTATGTTTACCTTCAAATGTTCCAAGACCATCTTTTCTGAAGTTGTTAGATCGGAAAGTTGAGAATTTATCGTATACTTTCTCGGGATGCTACGCAAGATTGCAGACTTATTTTTTTCCAGCAACTCTTGTGCAATCCGTTTTACATTTCCGGGAACGTTAGTGTTGTTAGTGAAAAACTTTAATTTAGGAACTGGAATTGTCATGTTGTAATCGGGGTCGTCTTTAAGTGCATCAGTAGCGTCTTGCATTTCAGTTGCCGCAATTTTCCAATGTAATGCAACAACAGTCGGTTGGTAGTTAGGGGCATTATCTCCAATTGGTTTTAGGTTTTGGATAATCTGATATTCCGTAGATGATAAATTCTCGAGCGGTTCATCGGCTTTGTACTTCCTCTGCACATCCGAACATATTACATCTTCGACTTTTCCTTTAATTCGTAACGCATCCTTCTTAAGATGCTCTGAGCCAAAGCGTTCAATTTCATTAAGCTTAAAATTGACGCTACGATCTGGTATGAACTCCTCTGGTGTCTCCAGTTTTTCTTCAAGTGACTTCAGGTAACTTGCCATAGACTGCTGTTTCAGTTCTGTTATGACGCTATTGTGATCAGCCAGGTCAGAGAAGTTGGTGTCTTGCAATGCCTTGATCTGTTCAAATACAGATAAATATATCACTTAAACATGTATCAATCATTTATTAATTTCTGTTTAATCATTTAAGTAATTATGGCGCTCAAAAACATTTATCATAAGAAAAATGTCATTTACATTAATTAACGAAATGAGACTATATATAAAAGAACATACTAGCTTTTATGATTAGCTTGTTACAGTAAGCAATAACAAAAATGAAGAATGTGACATTGAAGAAATACCGGACACATGTGAAAATCCACTTTTTTATCGAGATCTTTACCAAGTTTTGCTTTATTATGAGATCATATTATTTTTATTTTTAGCTGAAATAAATTTGTTTAAAACAAAATTTAAATATTCTGAAAAGAACGTGTATAATCACAATTAAGTCTAATCTCTCACTATGTTTACCTTCAAATGTTCCAAGACCATCTTTTCTGAAGTTGTTAGATCGGAAAGTTGAGAATTTATCGTATACTTTCTCGGGATTCTACGCAATATTGTAGACTTATTTTTTTCCAGCAACTCTTGTGCAATCCGTTTTACATTTCCGGGAACGTTACTGTTGTTAGTGAAAAACTTTAATTTAGGAACTGGAATTGTCATGTTGTAATCGGGATCGTCTTTAAGTGCATCAGTAGCGTCTTGCATTTCAGTTGCCGCAATTTTCATTGAAGAAAACATGTGAAAATCCTCTTTTTTATCGAGATCTTTACCAAGTTGTGCTGTATTGTGAGATAAAATTCTTTTTACTTTTAGCTGAAATAAATTTGTTTAAAACAAAATTTAAATATTCCGAAAAGAACGTATATAATCCCGTCTTTTTTGGACAATCAAACACAATTAAGTCTAATCTCTCACTATGTTTACCTTCTGACTGTATTCCTAGATCTAATTTACCTACCTCATCTTTATCCGTAATGCTTCCATAAACAGTTCCTTGTCTATATTTTTTGGCCATGTCTTCAAGGATATCCATTCTGATATTCAAATTTCTGGTTTTGCGCTTTTCTTTTGCAGCCGGCTCAATGTCTAATTCTATTTCTTCTAGAACCCTTTCTTCATACAAATCAAGGAGTTGATTTCTTGTGATATATCTTTAAAAAGTCGAAAATTAATTAATTATCACATTATTGAAATTTGTAAAAAAAAATAAAGCACGTGCATATAATTAAATTTTATCAATTACGTTCCACAAACTATGGCTTTTGGACGTTTTATATGATGTTACATGTAATGTCGTATCAAATTTTCTGGCCAACGCTTTATTAATCCCACATGTCACTTGACTATAAGATGATATTTTTAGGAAGTTAAACCGATGTATCCGACAGGCACTTTAAAACACAGAAAGAATATCAGATAGATCGTCCATCGTCCTAGGAAGATAAATTTCTAACAGTAGGTGCCATAAAATACAAGAATAAAAACTCAACAAGAGTGAGCAACGTTCACGAAACGCAATCCCAAAAGTATCCAAAAGCAACGGCACTAAGCTGACAGATGGTTTCCGTTTGTGTGTTTTGTTTGAATTTCGGCGCACCAACACATTTTATGTAATATGGCACCGAAACAGGAAAGATGATTTTTGCTAACCTCGTGTGTTACAAACTTAAAGCAACACAAGATGTCAACACCAACTCACTTGCTGGAGCTAAGAGATGCAAGTAACCCATTTAGTCGCCTTTTACTATCATGCAGAGTTGAACGGTGACTTCAATTCTTATGCCTCATCCCTTAAAATGCAACCTGGCACGGACAAGTGTTTATCACATATATTTACATAAAACTGAATAACAGAACAAATGCTTTACTCTTTTTGCGTTTCGTAAACTTCTGGAATGAGAGATGTAACGTCTCCACTGGCATAATCGATCATTGTTTGCGTCATAGGTCTTTTTGCCCAGTAATTGCCAGCAATCTTGCTCCACTCCAACTGGAAAGTAATTTGAGGTAAAATATGAGTCTTGAATATAATTTGTGGTAAATTATTTGTTTATACATCTGTTTCAGTTACATTGTGAACATCAAAAACGTCGAATCCAGTTCAGACGCTGTATGAGTTTAATGTCACATTTACATTGGAAGTAAGTATGATTGAAGAGAACATATACAAGGTTGTTCAAAATGTAATAGGACTACGAGTCTTGCGTTTTTCAAATTCCACTAAATTTAGAATATTTCCATATTTTCAGCGATTATGTTTACAATGTATATATATGTTTTTTTGGTGGGGCGGGCTTTAGTTTATTAAATTATTGTATAAACCCCTCAATACGCTGAAATTTGTTACTTTGTTTTTACACAACAAAATTATCCATTTCAATTAAAATTTGCACGAAAATCGCGTGGTCGATAAGAAGTTTCAAGATCATCACCTAAACGTCATCCTTGCCCTCGTAAACTTCGGCATTTTGAGAATACAGTTTACAAATGTCTGCAAGTTTCTCTCTAGTAGGAAGTCGTTTCCCTTTGTGCTCTTCAATCACAAGATGTGCTACCTTGTTAAAAAATGTCAATTATTAACTGAACTTACAAATTATCATCGTCGAAGTGAAAAAATAAACGATAAAAAAGAAAATGTAAGAGTCGATGAAAATCTTGAAAATTAGAAAATTAATGCGGATAGCGTATCATACGTTTGTTTGTGAAAGATATGCTTTTTAATAAGTATATTTAGAAAAGCAAGAACTACTCTTATTTATTACATTTCGAAATTATTAAGTCCTACATTAGACTTGCGATGTGGAATGATTGAAGAGCAGTTAAATTTTAAAATTTGGAAATAATTATCTCCCAATTTATTCTTTGTTTGGTTCTAAATCAAAACATGTTATGTGTGATTTACATATATATATATTTATTTATTGTAAAATTGCCTGAAATAGACAATATATTATATATATTTTGGCAATTTTACAATAAAAGGTCGTGGTGAATGGCTTAAACACAACTGTTTTGCAGACATCATAGATATCTCAAAAGCCATTGTCACTCTATCTTAAACAGATTTGTCCATCATTTAATTTGGACTTGGACATGGTCATGTTAGGGGAAATCAAAATATGAACTGACTGAATAGTGAACAGGACCGACCATGGTCAGACTGCACGAACGTGTCGGCTGATCTTAGTATGCATTGGAGACATATAAGATTATATAGTAGCCAGTCAGACTAAGTGTACAGTAACTACCTGTGTGTCAAAGACGTTTTCCAACCTGATACCAAACTGGTGATAAAGAGCAGCACTGTCACCTGAGCAAGACTGAATAACCTGAAAACATATAAGTCACTTCGCAATCTAATATTCATATTAATGACAGACATGATATCAGATAAAGTAAAATAAGTCTTTTGAACACTCCACATTAAAATATATTTAAAAGAAACTCGTACATTTACATTTAAACAGTCATGCCAAAAAAAAAAAGAGAGCAAAAATGTACATAAAAAACACCTTTGTAGGGTTACAGTAAAATCCCTCTTAATTTAACACTCAATGAAATTAAGATACTACGCATTGTTTATATTCCTACTTTAGCATTCAATCCTTAGAAAACAAAAATGAAAATTTGAAGATCATTAAAAGTACACTATAGCATTTATCTTTAAAGTTTAATTGCAAAGGAAGAATGAAAAATCCTACATGGTCTGTTTTGAAATGACGATATCTTATATTGTTAGACAGACTTGTTATGTATACAAATACTCATTTGACAGATTCTTCATTTAATGGTGTGTTGTTAGTATTACCATAATATCATTACCTGTCTTTAAAATACTTAAATTTACTAAAATTAGATTATACTCATAATGTCATAGAAAAATACTGCCTGTGAACTTGTCAGTGGTCTGACAGACAGAAAATGCTGAAAAGTTGAAAACACGTTCCTCACTTGAACTTAATAAATTTGCCAAAAATATAGTTTGAGAAACAAGAAACGACTAAAGCCTGCTTCTTATTCTCACTTTTGGAGAAATTCAGACGATTCTCTTTTAGTATAATATGTAAAATATATAGAACATCTTTTATCTTTCAGATGTTTTATTATAAACATATAATCATTTTCGAATGTTTGCCCTTTAAAAAACTGATTAATAATAAACCTCGTAGAAAACATCATCTTACTTTCACTATGGTTGTACTTGTTAGAATTTTGTCAAGTGTAGTATCTTTGAAGAACATTTTATCTTGTTTCTTCTCGTTAATCATAACATCAAACAAGTAGACGTCCCCGTCTAATGTCCCTATCTGTAGTAACGTCAGTGGTCCATCTTTACCTAGTTGAACACCCTCTGCGTCAAGGGAGATCACTTGTTCTTTCAGAAGCCTGGAAACTGCAGATTTGCATTTACACTTGTCTTCTTGCGAATATAGCGTTATAGTGTTCCTTGCTTCCTGTGTTGTCATGGTTCACCAACGTAATGTTAAGTCGTTCTTTTAACATTCAAGAAAATAAAAACGTAAAAAAACAACAAATGAAGCCAATATTTTCATCAGAGTTAATAGTAAAGAGACAAAATATAGATATATCATCTATATGACATATTTTGAAACTTGTGTTATGCTGTTGACCTGTTGTTACAAATTTCGTAAATTTCTGAAAATTGGGTATAACGAATACACGGGGGTGGAACCCCATATGGATCTAAAAATGAGCATCGGTAAAAAAAGTATATGTGAATTTTCGTTGCTACAGATGTGATGTATTACACAAGATGTGACAGTAAAATTAGGTGAATCGCAGTGAAAGTTTTAAACTTTTTAAACAGTTATTTAGAATTCAAACTTTTTGTTAGAAAACCAAAATGCGATTCTACCCTCCTGGCTCTCCTCTATACTACCCATTTTGTATTTGAATTCTATGCAGTCTTCATCGAGATATTCTTTCCATCGTGGGTTCTTTTGTGTCCAAAACATGCAATGCGTATGAAGTAAATGTCACCAAACGGAATCAAAATACAGAGATTTTACGAAATATCAACACAGACCGATGCTTAACATTCGATCAAATTCTGATTTAAACATTTATTAAGATTTGGCTAGAAACAAAGGAATCTCTGCCCAAAATTGCATTTGAGCTCCATATATGATGAAAGATCCATATAATAAGTCCACCCCCGTGGAATACAATCTCTTCCTTTTTGTGAAAACCCACATACATACATATAATTTAATATCATATTTTAGTGTCATATATAAAATTTAATAAAATGTCGTATCAGCATGTTTTCACGACGATAATGGAAAACACGAAAATACTTTTTTTGTGTGGTGGGGGGGAGGGAATATCGTAATGGCCTTTTCCTCTTGTCGTCTTGTTGCTGCGAAACACACCAAACTGTACGCGGTCGTGCGACGCATTTTTGCCTTGTCGGCTACCATACTTAGCTGCTGGTAGGGCCTTTTCATTTTCCTTTTACAATAACTTTAATGACTACAAACTGTAGTGGAAATTCTAAATTTAGAATCATTTGAATTGCTTTGGACTTTTTCTTATAACTATATTGGAAGCCCGTGGGCCAGTTTTGGAAGGGAGAGGTCTGGGGTTCAAAAAATCCCTGTCAAGGCAACTAATTTTTTAGTGTCTTTTGTCTTTTTTAGCGATTTAAACATTTTTTCTTTAGGAATTAGTCACGATATGCAAGGATAAAATATGGCTGTCCTAGAAAATGTACATAAATGATATAATAATGCAAGTTAGAAACTCAGGCCATGCAATATTCTGTATGTATCACGAATATTATAGTCATATTATATTATATTTTTGTATATAAGATAATCAGATATTTTTTATTTACGTTTTATTTCCTACATACGAACACTGCTTTTAATTGTTTGAAGGTATATGTCATTTTTTGAGCCTGTGAAAAGGGGAGTTCATTTTAAGAACATACACTCATTTAAGATGAAAAAAAGAGTAAAACACAATGAATACTTGCTACTTATAGTCATTTTTTACAATGTATAGGTCCAAAATGAAAACAAAAACATAGATAGTTTATACAAAAAACATGTTTCATATGCAAAAATAATTCCTCTAAATATGCCAGGGTGATTGAAATTTGAGCAAAGTTCAAAGACGGGAAGTGACACAAAAATTGATAATATAAAAATTTGATGGTGAAATTTTCTTATATTTGAAAAATAAATGTCTTGTACTATCTAGGTAAGAAAACAGTAAGGACAACCTTATTCTTATCGCTGACCATTAGGGTCCGTAATTCTTAAAGTAGGGTAAAATGGATCTTTACTTGTCCAAAAAAGTGATACATTTGTTTTTGTATTTCTGATCGCAGATCAGGAAATACAATGCTGACATTCAATCTCTGGCACAGAATTTCACGACAAACCATACAACATGTAGTTCTCAAAACAGCTTAAAACTAGCGATGTAAAAGAAAGAAATATTTTTATTTTAATACAAGTATTCAACAAATTACAACGCATTCAAAGTTTAAAAGTAGCGTTTGCTTATAGAATTGTCAATAAATGCACAATCACAAATTTCGCGGATGAATATCATTTTAACCCATTACGCGATATACACGCCTTTTAACGCCCTTTTCATCCCCTTTTTGTTGTCTCAAATGTGAACAAAAATGCCTTATTTTGGCCCCCAACACTTGTTTTTGTTTTAGAAATGTTGTTTAAAAAAGTGAGCAGTTTTTCGGCGCGGCCCCCCAGCCAAAGATACATCAGGAGGTTGCCAGAAGGGGGATGTGCCCAAAATATTTTATCGCCAAGAAAATTTTGGACTTGTGAGAGGCTAAAAATGTCCCCAGATCGATCATAAGGTAACGTGTAACCAACGCTGAAAAGCATTTGACTGACTCTGTCTCAATCCATTGAGAAGTTGCAGGACTTTGAAATCAATTTTGATGGAAAAAATCAACATAAAATAGTGATTTTTGGCAATTTTGAGATGTCCCCTCGTTGCCATGGTAACAAGAAATTTAAGCCTGAGCATGTTGTTGCAAAGGCAATGGTTCAGTCAACATTTGTGCCAAGTTTGATTAGTATTGAAGCAGTTTTAATAGTTTTATAGCAATTTGAACTTGTAAATGAAACAGCCGTTTTTCACAAAATGCTCATGAAGTAATGGGTTAATAAATAAAAATGCTATTTTTAGCGATATCGATTACCAAATTAGTCTGACCGTCGAGTAGTGGAATTTATACATGTCGGACTGTTTTGGCGAGAATATTTTCGCTAAATTATTTACATCAGGGTTAAACAACAAGGTATCGTGAACAAAATACCTCGAAATTAATAAAGATTACAAACCCGAAATGGAAATTCTAAATTTAGAATTATTTGATTTTATTCAGGCTTTCTTCGTATAACATCCCCGTGGTGCAGGGGTAACGCGCTCGTTTAGGGTGAAAGAGGTCTTGGGTTTAAATCCCAGTCGAGACAATTATTTTTTAAGTGTCTTTTTTAGGAAATAGCCACAATATGCAAGGATAAATTGTGGCTGAACATAAATGATATTTTGAGGCAACTCTAGTCATGCAAAACTCCGTATGTATCAAACTCAAACTGTTATAGTAAAAAATCTAAACGCAGTCACTGCATCTCGGTGCCCTGTAAGATGAATTATAGTATATAAAAATAAACTTATACAGGAAAATACATACAGATACAGTACGATTTAGATTGCAAAGATCAGAAAATACCACAGAGCTTGCAGCCCTTTGATTTGATTTAATATTATAAGACTGCTTTAAATACACATATACATACGAAATACTCAACAACACTTCACTTTATCATGTTTTCAGTTTTAGCAGTATGATGAAAAATTAACATTAATTTGATAGCCACTTTTGTAAATAAAAAATATCTAAGGAATGGAAAATATTTTTTACTTCTTTTTAGCAGAGAATACTTAGAATATTGTATGTTTATTTAAGCAGAGTTTTTATTTTTG